TTATTCAAAAAATACCAACCTGCCTTTTATTTTGAAACGGGCATTAGAATCCTATTGTACCATCATAAAATCAAAATAATTAATTGGTTATAGCAAGATTAAATAAGTATTTCAAATATTTTTCGCTTTATACTGTAATTTGATTATCTTGTTTTTTTGTTTTTCATAATTATTTCAATATCTAAATTAATTTCTTCATGAACTGATATATTTGTAAACAGCTATTTCGTATCTAAACTTAACACTCAATCATTTTTTTGTAGTTTTCGCTGTTGGATTAAATTAGTAAATATAAATTAATCTTTAATATATGATTTTGGTTTAGCTCTTGCTTTTTCCAATATTGTTGTCAAATATTTAGTTAATTTATAATTTCAGTTGTTTGTTGTAGAAATGATTGATTTTACATGAATTCTTTATTTAAGAGTTTTCCGTTAACAAAATCAGATGATACACCTTGATCCGGATTTTCTTATGCAATTATTATCTTCTTCAGTCATCTCTTGTACTCTTTTAAACCTTAAATACGATAATTTAATTTATTTTTCCATCTTTCTATTAATATCTTCAATTGTATTTTGATTTCCCATTGCAGCTTTATCTTTAATTTGTGGGAATGATGTACCTGTGGATAATAATTCTTGCACTTTAATTTTATATTATTCTTTGTTTATTATAACACATGATGATTCTTGTTTCAGCTCTCATTAATAATTTCAGTGTTGATAATTCACTTGGATTAACATTGATAATTTTCTTATACCTTTGTTTATTTTTAATGATTGATAACCTGGCCTTTTTAGACAATTCGCAATACGTTACACTAAAGATTTTGTTTCTGGTTCTTCTAGTGGTTTTAAAATGTTAAATGCCATCATCGTAATATATGTTTTAAACTTGATAGTGGCTTTGATTTTTATTTCCATACAGAATTGTCAACCTTTTGATGGAATACATTTTTCGTCAGCAGATAATTCACGAGATGAGATATTGTGCAACGCTTTTGTAATATCAACTTGTTCTAATTTGATGTTACCATTTGATAGACGATGTATTTTATCTTTATGAGTTATTCTAACTTTAGTGTCTTCTTTTTGTTTTAATCTATTGAAATGTTGTTTTATTCGTTAACGTCCAAATACATTGATTTTATTATGTATTATTTATGCTAGTTATTGACTTCGTCTTTCTACTTTGTATATATTTGTATGCATTTGTTATGATATTCTAATTGTAAATAATGTCTCTAATGTTGTTAATAAGTTTTCTTTTTCATATATGCTTTATTCCATAGTTTTTATTTGACGAATTTAGGTGCTAAGTTATATATTAAACAATGTTTAAACAGCAATTATGGTACGCATCAACATATTAATCGGAATTTTCTCATCCAATGCAAATTATACAGCAATGCTCTTACATTGTAAAATAGACAATAAGCTTTGAAGAACACAAAACGATATTCTACGAATGCTCATAGGAATTCATCGACAAATTTGCAATTTTCTGAAAATACGATATTTAAGAAATTACAAATAAGAAATTCGATTTTCTAATTAGAAAATCAACAGTAAATTCATATAGACATTCCTAGAAATTCGTAGACTATATATTGATTACAGTCTTTTTTTGTATGAATTTGAAAATTAGGTTTCCTTTTCATTTTTTCCTTGAAACTTTTATTTATTTTATTTCACATGTACACACATAATGCACAAAACAAAGCGAAAAATTTACAATCTAATAATGACGGCAAACTGTTCAAAAATTACTAATAATAGAAATAAAAACTAGGTTAACTTTCCAAGATTTGAAAAACAATGTACAGAGAAAATTATTGAGTTGTAATAATTAATATAATTTAAGAAATTCTAGATGATATGCAATCACAAACAGAAAAATATAACTCTGCAATGCGTGATGATTATTTTATGCCCTTTTAAAAAATTGTTTACTAAGCATTAATAAAAATCCTGATTTTTTTCTTCAATGATAAATTATTCAGGACTTTTCAAGTTGGGTAAACATTGGCTGCATATTCTATATTAAATATTTTATACATACGATCCAAATAAAACAGTCAAAGCCTTCACCTCGTGATTTCATTGTAATAAATATATTGTATTCAATAAAAATAGAATCATTTTTGATATTGTTAATTTTTTGAATTTGTATAATTTGATAATCATCAATCGTTTGCTAAAAAAATCGATAAATATCAGTGAGAAATTAGAATTAAAAACAATTCATATTGCGAATAAATTATTCTTACAGTTTAATAAAACTTTGTACAGTATTTGTAGCGTTTCATAATCAAAACCTTTACTATACACAACGATTGTTCTTCTAAATCTACGAAAAATAGTATACCAATATTAATAAAAACACATTACTTTTGTTAATATTTTGTTTTGTTTGGCGACTCAAATATCTAAGTAATTTTGTACAACTAGACTTTAATACCTAAAATATATTTCCAACAAATGGATCAGAACGAAAATTCATTTCATTAATAAGTTGTTCATAGAAAAACATAAAAGAAAATAGATAGACATGATACTTCCACTATGTTGGATGTTTGGAATGAAGTATTAGGTGATTGAAAAAATACGCTCTTCACGACTTACCAAGTTGGCCACTGATAAAACTGGGTTAAATTTGACAACCGCTTGAATTGATTTCATGTTGTATTAATTAAAACACGCATTGATTCAGCTTATTGATATATAATTGCAGTAGATATTCTTCTAATATTTCATTTTCTTCAACAAAATATCTAAAATGATCGAAAAGAGCTCAAAAAATATAAAATTATAGTTTGAATTTTACTTGGGGAGATAAATAGTCAACTATCACAATTTTCAATTTGTGCCCTGGCATTTGATGATCTTATGAGTGTTGTTTTTATTAACAATATCTCACGCGATTGACCGAATACTTGTCGGTCACGCGAAAACCGTTGTTTTATTGCTGATGCTCAAGAAACGCTAAAAAAGAAAAAAAAATAAAGATGAAAACACTATTCTATATTCTATTTAACATGCCATATTTTCGTCAAATATTTTTCTAAGTGCTGAATATTTATTTTTAAAGATAACTATTGCTTGATCGGTTTCAAATGTCGTTGGACTAAAATCAATGCGATAAGTATTCAATATATTATTGTGCATTGCTTTTTACTAATTATTCTTTTTTTCGTAGTGTGTTCCAAGTCTGCTGCTGATGAATCTTCAACAACATCTTCAGAAGCTTTATCAAATCTTGGTACCATCCAATTTAATGAAATTTTTTTTCTCGATTGGGATGTTGTTGAACTTGCTGAAAAATGATCTAATAATTGATGGATCATAGGTAAAGTGGTGTACGAGTATTTGCAAACAGTTTTAGTCCAATGAAGTGAAAGTTAGGAAATGCTTTAGCGTTTTAAAATTTGATTTCCTAAAAAGTGGAGTTTGTATGAAATTTACAGTGTATTATGAGTATGACACTGGAAAAATGAAATTCTAACCATTTTTACAAGAATGATGTGAATTACCCATACTAGGTAATTCGAATTACTTTGATCAAGCATTCAGTATTCTTCTGAAAGCTCACTCAAAATACTGATTATTTTTCAAACATTTTTATACAATTCGATAGACAATACTTCGAGCTATCATCGAATAAAAAAAAGTCTTTTTTTTTCTGAAACAGAATGATTGAAAAATGATCAAAATGCACTTATTTTTCATTGGATGATCTGAATTACTCTAATCGGCTATAAATTAGGTGAAACATGTCGTCGAATTAACTTTGCATCGTTTTCTAATCATTATTATAAGGCAATTAGTTTAGAAAATGAATTTTATTTCGCTAAGTCGATTGCTACAGAGAATCATTGAACACTATGGTATTGATTCGTACGTTTCATATACAGATTCGGTGTTTTTTCACTTGGTTCGAAATCCATGTGCCTTTATCAGTATGTGTGTGAGTGACAGTGAGAAATCGAAAGAAAAAAAAGAGTCTTCGTTTGCCTTCTTTTTGTCACACATGAACAACCTTTCATTTTAATAATGT